TGGATTTCCTCATTGTTGTAAGCCTTCCAAGCAAGGGTCGTTTTCCCGAGGCCAGGCATTCCGATGAGGCTGCTGATGCGCATCTTATTATAAGAATATCTTTCTGCGGTCAGAGTTTTTATTAATTTTCTTTCCTCATCTTCCAGGCCTATCATGCTGTCTCCCATGATTGAGGCTGCCTGTGCACACAAGTTACAGTACATTCTCAAGTTGAGCCTAGTTTTTTTATGCTAAAAAACAGAATGAGCCTAGTTAATCAAAATGCTATGTCAACATACCAGTAACACGACCTTTGTAGCCAATTAAAGCATAAAAAATCTGTTTCTTTTTTTTTTTCTCCAAGAAACGGACCAAAACAATAAACGAGCAACTCATAGTACTAAAAAAACTACTTTTGCCTGATAGAAATTGTACCTTTTTCAGCCTTGGCTGCTTTTGCTTGTCTCGATCCATCAGATTTGTCGTGGCCAATTCGTACCTTAGCAATGTCAGTCCCAATGAGCCTGCCCATGGCAGGTTTCAACTCATCTTTCCTAAGCGACCTGACGAGCTGTGCCAGGTCAGCAGGCGCCAGATCGACGAGATCTCGTCTCCGACCGGATATATATTTCCAGTCTGCAGCTGCCTTGGCCAGAAGAGTCACACAAGCGTCGATTGTGTCCTCAATAGCATACACCACTTTCTTGATTTGCCTTTCAACTTCCCTGAGTTGTGTGGCTTTATTCAACCTTGTTGACTCGGGCTCCAGCAAAGTCTTGAAAGACATTAGATCGTTCGTCAGCAGCCGGAGCTCCTCTTCCGTGCCGACGCCTGAGAGAAGATCGGCATGTGACGTCAGCAGCCGCGACACGTTTTCCAGCAGGAAACTCACCGCGCCATACGTCATCTATATCGACAATTTCAAGAATTTAACAATATGGAATGAGAGAGCAAAGATTAACTATTTGGCAGGTCCAACTATTCTTCACATGCTCTTGATCAAAGGTTATCTTGGTTTTTGCTTTTTCTTTTCAAGAGATGTTTTTTTTTGTTTTTTTTAACAGGATTAGTCAGACAATGACCT